CTGTTCTGGCATGCCCAGGGTCTGGCGTAGGAAACGCTCACCCAAGTACCAAGCTCGACAGACCGGGCCCTCCAGCAAAATCTGGAAACGTGTAGTCTCCTCTGCACCGGCAAACCGATCCCGAGTCACGGCTGGCAGTGGAGCCCAAGGCTGCCAGGTGATCTGAAAATGAAATACAGATTGTTATCTACTATTATTGAAAATACAGTGCGAAGTGAAGCTTAAATAAAACTCTAAAAGTTGAACATACCTCTGCGGGAGTAATAGTGTCAAAGTAGCAGCGGAAAAAGATGAATGTCTCCCGGGGCCTCCGCACGCACCTCACGTCAAAGCGACGTGAAAATGGGACGACGAGAGAGGTCTCTACGTCTGGCACTAGGGCGAGTCTCGGGAAGTAGGCGTAGAACCACAACTGTAGAGCAAATACCAGAAGGGTCATCAGATAAAGCAGAACGCAAAATAAAGCAGAAATTGCAGGACCGTGTATTGTGCAGTGTATTGAGCAGAGTGTACAGTGTGTGCAGTGTACAGTCAGTGTAAAGCAGGGTATATGTGTGTGCCGTGTGTGCAGTATAACATTAGTATGAAGCAGACCACAGTGTGTGCAGTGTACAGAGTACAGAAAATGTAAAGCAGAAATGAAAAGCAGAGGAGAAAATATACCTCCCAAGCTCGCCAGTAGCCCCCGAGCAGCTGTCCGCTGCAACGGGAGGCTGAGCTCATGTACCCGTACAGAGTGGCCAAGGCAGCGCCACCCCAGTCACAGTGCAAGATCCGGGTGACGTCCACGAGAGCGTTGAGTAGGCAGAGAGGGGCACAGTGTTCGCTCGGTCGGCGAAAATAGTCGTCCCCAGCAGGAACATGAGAAAGCCGCGTGCATATCGCTCCACCGCCTCCTGAGTCATCGGAGCCTCCTCGACTAAGGCCGGCTGGACTCTAAACTGGACCTCGAACCATGAATATCGAACGAAGACGGAATGTGCGAGAGGCAGCACCTCACCGAGCAGGTAGATCTGAGCAGCCTCCCACTCGTCCATGTTGGTGTCGAAGGGGATCGGATCACCCCCCACTCCGATGCCGGTGAGCATCAAGAAATCATAGGGAGTCATCATCATGTCTCCCGCGACGAAAAAGTAGAATGAGTCGGTGGTGTCCCACCACCTCTCCACCAGAGCGGCAAGGATAGGCCTGTCGCCGTAAGGCACGAGAGTCCCCTGTAGAATGCGCCAAATCCGGCTTGGTCAACAATACGATGGACTGCGTCCGGTAACTCCATGTACCAATCCCGGGCGGCAACATTCCCATACCCGCGGACAGTATGGGAATCTCCCTGTTCAAAAGCAAAATAGTTGCGAAGAATATAAAATGTACAGTTTTTAAGAAGTATTCAGAATTGGTGACAATATAACGTGTGTGCATGTTTTCAGGTTCAAACAAACATCGGGTGCCGGTGTGCTCGCAGGGAACTACAACATATGATGTGTTAGTGTATTTGAGTGGTTCAGTACAGATATAGCGTGTGTGCACGTTTTTAGATTCAAACAGATATCGGGTGCCGGTGTGCTAGCAGGGAACTACAGCATGTGATGTGCCAGTGTGTTTGAGTGGTTCAGGGCAAATGTAGTGTGTGTGCACATGTTCAGATTCAAACGGATATCGAGTGCAAGTGTATTCACAGTCAACTACAACATATAGTGTATCTGGGTTAAGCAATTAAAGAGCATAATCAACTATGGCAGTTAAGTGTTCTACATTGCGGAAATTGAAATGAGGGAGAATATACCTCGGAAGCGCCGTATGAAAAGTGCGTCTCAGGCTCACGCAAGAGAAGCTCTGGCGGCACACCTCTCGCAAAATCCAGGAACTGGCGAAGTCTGTCGGGAGGAAGCACGTGAATCGCCGGCCGGTAGGTCGCCGGGTCGAACGGGCGGACGCTCAAGGGGAGGAGCTCGGCCTCTGAGTCCATCTCGTGATCCAGGGGAGTCCCGCCCCGTGGAATATCATCCGCCATGTCAAAAGTGGTGTGAAGACGCCAGAAAAGTGGAAACCGGATGAGAATGTGAAAGGTCAACCGAAAAGTCAACCCCGGGAGGGCGGAAAATGGCCGGAAAAGCCGGAATGTGGAAAATATATGGAAATCAAGAAAAACTTGGGGGGAAACAAACTCCAAGAGGCTGAAATCGAAAAAACTACACCGAAACGAAGTTTCGATCGGATGAAAGTGTTCGAAACGCGATGAACTTCGCGAATCAAACATCGAAAAGGGTGCGAGAATCAAGGAAAACGAGGAAATGAAGAGAAGAAAATACTTTAGAGAGAGGGAGGAGAGAATTTTGGCTAAGAGGAAGTAAGAAAAATAGGGTTTGGAACCCTATTTTAAAAGACCCGAGCCAAAAAGACAAAACTACCCCGATTCAGGCATTTTTGGCCGGTCGGCCAAATATTTGGCCGGTGAGTTGTTTCGATAGCCGGTGGATAGCCGGTGACTTCTCCTTTTGGCCGGTGAGCCTCCTACAACCTTGTTTGGGTCATATGTGTAGTTTGGGGCCTTCATTGCCCGAAGAAGTGCAAAAAAAGTGCATTTCCGAAGCTCGACCGGCCCCTGTTTTGACCTCGGACCGTGTCTTCTGTGCGTGGCACTCGAATATGTGCAAGGTGTATCCTTTTTGTATCCTTTTGTCTCTTTTAAGATTCGAAAGTTGCCCCGCATGCATTGCTTTACAACGCTTTGGTATGAACGCGTGTTGAGTTATATATCATTATGCTTGCATTGTTATGTATATTAACGGTCTGGCGAGACCTTATATATGCTCGGTCTAGGAGACCTTAAATCCTCTGAAGGTGTAAGTCCTTCGGCGTTTGTCATGTCCGAACGACTTTTGATAAGTTGCATTATACATATATTTCAAGCGACTCGCGTCGTCGCATATTCAAGTTCACGTGCATCCCAAAAGCCGCACGTTGTCGCCCATTTCAAGATCATCTGCATTGTCATGCATCTCAAAAGCTGCACGTTGTCGCGCATTTCAAAATCATGCATCATCACGCATTTGCATTTCAAAAACAAAACAAAACAAAAAAAAGTGCATATGTCATGCATCATTGCAAATAGTGCATATGTCATGCATCATTGTAAATAGTGCATATGTCATGGATCATTGTTAAATAGTGCATATGTCATGCATCATTGTAAATAGTTGCATATGTCATGCATCATTGTTAAATAGTGCATATGTCATGCATCATTGTTAAATAGTGCATATGTCATGCATCATTGTTAAATAGTGCATATGTCATGCATCATTGTTAAATAGTGCATATGTCATGCATCATTGTTAAATAGTGCATATGTCATGCATCATTGTAAATAGTCCCCGCCATTTTCCCCGACCCGCATGAAGTACAATTCCTCCAAAATGAGCCCATCCCTTGGGCGTCGGACATCCTTCAATTTTTGACAGCGGGGGAACTTCCGGATGACCACCAGCATGCCGCCAAAGTCAGGGCACGATCATCCAATTACATCCTCGTCGACGGTATCTTGTACAAACGTGGTTTCTCATGCCCCTATCTGCGGTGCCTCAATTCGACTCAAGCAACTTATGTGATGCAAGAAATTCATGAGGGCATCTGCGGCAATCACTCGGGTGGTAAGTCTCTAGCCCACAAGATACTCCGTACCGGTTATTTCTGGCCCACCCTTAATCGAGATGCGACCGATTTCGTGCTCAAATGTGATAAGTGTCAGCGTTTTACCAACATCCCCCATGCACCCCCTACAGAGTTGATCACACTTTGCAGCCTTTATCCGTTCGTCAAATGGGGGATCGACTTGGTCAGACCACTCCCTACTGGCCGAGGCCAGACCAAGTTCGCGATCGTCGCCATTGATTACTTCACCAAGTGGGTAGAGGTAGAACCCCTCGCCACCATCACCGAGCGGAACACAACCAAGTTCATCTGGTAGTCGATCGTTTGTAGGTTCGGCATTCTTTAGGCCATCATCTCCGACAACGGTAAACAATTTGACAATGCCAAGTACAGGAAGTTCTGCACCGACCTCCAGATTCAACCTTGTTTCTCATCCCCTGGTCATCCCCAGGCCAATGGCCAAGTCGAGGTCACCAACCGCTCTCTCCTGAAGATAATCAAAACTTTATACATAGTTTTGTATATATTGCATATCATTTTGCATGTTATGTATGTTGCTAACGATATTGTACCTATTAAGTTTGCTTTCTTTTCAGGCACGATATTGTATGTACGGTTCATTTGAGGCTGGTGTAACCAAACGAACCGCACAGGTATTGTATTCTCTGAGTGAGACGTATCGAGAATTGTATAATTCTCTTACATCCTTTCTGCATTGTAGTGTAGTTTGGTGTATGCTAGCTTAAAACTGTCGCATGTTATGCTTCATTACAGTTTTCTTTGCATGATCATAAGTTATGTTCGGCTCCTTGCATTGTTAGTGGCATTTTGCCCCTGCCTTCGAGCGCATACCTTTACCGTTTTGTATGTTTGTCTAAGTCTTCGGCCTTGTCAAAAATGGGTCATCTCTGGGCTTTGACATTCACTCCCGTCATTGTTATGACTTTCGAATTCTGTCAAAGAGGGGCAACTGTAGACACCCCATTTTTGACCGTCCTCAAGACCTGGATGTCACCGCTTGAACACTTGCTGATCATCCTTGTTGCTTGTCGTCTTGAGTTCGCAGAGGCCTCGGCTACGCGCCTGTAGACACCCCATTTTTGACCGTCCTCAAGACTTGGACGTCACCATTGGAACACTTGGTGATTACCCTTGTTTGTGTTCGTCTTGAGTTCCCGGAGGTCTCGGTTGCGCGCCTTGCCTCAGGATCTCTCGACTCGACCGTGTTGTGTCTGGTTTTGCACCGATCAAAAGCCAAATAACCACCAAACATAGAACTCAAGAAAACACCAAACTTGTTATGAAATGGTACAGAAGATGCCTTAGTGCCACTATGATAGGGAAGTACTGTGTATTTCTAGGTGGTCGGGTTACAAACAATGAAACACGTTGGGCCATTCAAGCATAATAGTAAGCCTTTGCAAGAGTCTTCAATCCTACATGTACCAGACCCATATCCAACACCATCAAGAAGTGACGAAGTCGGAAGACTTTGGTGTTGGCCGTGAAGTGAGACAGACTTGACTTTTTCATCGTCAAATGATGTAACAGGGTTGATGAATAGTCCTGAGAACAAGGCACTGGGATGTTGGTTAGCGTGGTTGCGAGAAAATGGTGAATTGGAGATTAGGGAGAACCAATCCTTAGACACGCACTTGAATCTGATGACAAACTTTGCTGGCACACAGGTAAGGATCTCTGTTAGAATATCTACATTGCTGCCAATTAATTCTGTTGCCGGTGTATGTTCCGATGAATTGTAGCCAATAACTAGTGTTCCTTTACTGTTGGTCATTTTTCCCTGTGCATAACCCAGAACAAGAACAGAGAATACGCATCTCCATCAAACTAAGTTAAATTTCAGCCAAATTTTAGTTAAAAAATTACTTTTTCTATTTTAACTAATTACAAATTAATGCCACTGCTAGAATTCCTTTTAGTCAAGCATTTTCCTTACAACTATGATGTGTTCTGGTCACTATTATAATTCATTACAGCAATCTCCCATCCTTCACCAAATCTAGTGTCAAATTTGAATTTGATGACAATGACTCCAATCGTTTCATCAAATTTGTATCAAATCAAGTTTTAACCGAACTTTTCATCAAATCAAGGCAAAAATAAGTTTTTCACCAAATTTGATGAAACAAACTCTTGGGGATAAGCATGGAATTTTTAAGAGTTGGGCATCACTTCAGTGGCTCGTAAGGCCCACTACAGGTCTTGTGTCGATGGTTCAAACCGTTCATATCATAAGATCTTTTGCATATATCATCTATCAAAACAATTAGCTCAATCCGATAATTGTAATATTTTCCTTGACCGTGTTTGTCTCAAAAAAATATGAATGGTCTATTTTAAAAAACATACTCATTGTCCATTTTTTCGGAAACAAACATGATAAAATGAAAAGGTTACCATTATCCGATTAAGATAATTTTTTTCATGGATGATATACACGGAGGTCCCTACATGAACGGTTCGGATCATTGAAACATAACCTGTAGCGGGCCCCACGAGCCCCTCAAGTTCACATTTCTAGTTCTCTCAAGTTGAGATTTGAACTTGAGAAGCCAAACCCAATTTTCAAAATGGATTTGATGAAATTTTTTAGGGAGGATTGGAGCATTCAAAATTTTTCACCAAATCAAGCTTTTACTTAAATTTGATGAAAAAGCAGTTGGAGCATCCCATATCATATCAAGTTTATAACTAATTTTTCACCCAAATTTGATCAATAAATAAGCTAAAAGAATGAACTAATTGTATAGTGAGATCTAATCAATAGGTCAAAACTTTTAAAAACTAAGAAAAACTATTTGTGAGATTTATTAGTTTTCTTGTAAAATACTTCTTTTGCAATGCTTATACAAGAAATTATGTTAAATTAGTAATGTATCAAAACTAACAATGGATTTTATACACATATATGTTGGCCCCTCCCAGAAAAAAGTTCCTAGTTTCGCCCCTGCTGGCAAATGCTGTAAAGTGTATGCTTTTCTTTTCTGGCAATGACTATGGTAAGATCATTTGGTAAAGTGTCTCCCAGAAAATTATAACAACCAAAGAGTGACTTTGCCGAAATTAGTGGGAAATGTTAATTTGGTATGGTATTTCCAAAAAAATCAAAGTGACTTCACAAATTGTTAAATTTGTTAAAAGTATCCAATGAACTGATCATATGTTCGTAAGATACACCCTTTTAAACTGAACTCAAAAATTAGCACAACCATTATCCTTATCACAGCCAAAGAAAAATGCCCAAAAATACCATCAATACAAGATATCTCGATGGAACATCTCTACTCTAGAAGTGAATTAGGACTGCAGAAAATGAACCTCTAAAGTACATGAGATGATGAGTGAACATGTACAAAAAGAAAAAGACCACCCACACTGTCATGGTTTCATTCAACCCAAAAGATCTGACCCTAAAATTCACATATCATAGAGTTGATGCGAACATATCTTAAAAAACTAACAGATCAGAGCAATTAGTACTGTATTCAAACAAAACCCACTATTATTTGGGGCGAATCTGTTGAACATCTACGAAATATGGCAGCTTACCACAATCCATTGATTCGTGTATAGAATGGAAGGGAAGAGATTTACATCGGTGGGAAGACAGCCGATGAAGACTGGCGAGTAAGATAGCCGACACAGACGGGCCATGAAGATTGGTGACGACAATAGCCGACGCAAATCGGTGATGTTCGTTTTCCGTTGATGGCAGACCACAATTTACACAAACACTTGAAGAGAGGCAGAAGTGAAGAAGCGTGAAGGGGAAGAGGTCTGCCCTAAACTTCCAGAGATTCTTTTGCTGTGTCATTTGCTTTAAATGTTGGGGATAGGGGTGCTCATGGGCCCATCACGGGATGGCCCCTATCAGGTCGACTCGATCACGGGAACAGGGGCATATTGGCTCAGAGACATGTCTGGGAGAAGTCTGCCACGTCCTTGGAATTCCACGCATTTGTGTAAATTCTATCATTAACCTGACTTGTGGGGCATGATACACGTTTTGAATGTTCACCATGTACAAATTTCACTTTTGCAATGCAAGGTTTCCTGTTTCCTTACTATACAAAATTTAGTTCATCAAGATCAAAAGCCCCAGAATTCGGAGCCCCATCCGTGAATGACATGATTGGGCTGAATAAGCCTCTGGATTCGGAGCGCCCTTCGTGGATATCACGATTGGCCAAATTAAGTCTCCGGATTCGGAGCCCGTGATTGCATTGGGCCCTCTTCCCGAGGCTGTTTACTGCTTTCATTAGATTAGTTAATTTGTTAATTAATTAATTGGTCTGTAATAATTAATTAGCTTGTAGGTTAATTAATTTGTATTATTCTTTCGGTCCCTCCGAGCGAGGGCAAATTTGTTATAAGTGTGGGTGCGTGTGTGCATGTCTTCCAACCCCCACTTCTTTCTCCCTTTTACTTACCTGCTTTGATGGTTAGTATTAGGACATGTTTACTTTAGCATACCTTATGCTATGCATGCGTGCATCATTCATTAGTATTGCATGCACCAGGCTCGGTACATCATACTAACTGCATAAGTATTTCAAATCTAACTTGAATACATGCTACTTGTGCATTTTCACATATCATTTATAGACTAGCCGAGCCTACTCTAGTGACATTCTGTATGCGTTGCATTAGCCACTTAACATGGACTTGGATCATGCATTGATTGCTAACATGTTTTTGTTTTGGCTCGGAGTACTAGGTAAGAATTTATGCTTTAGCATACCGCATGCGTGTGAGTGTTGCCATAATAGCATGATTACCATGAGGCTAGATGCTTATGTGATATAAACTGCTTGAATGCCTGTGGGTGAAGGTTGGATTGTTTGAGTTGGAACAACTCGTTGAAATCTGTGCTTTAGCTTACTTGTGAGTAGTAAATTTCAAACTGTTAAACGGATATGCAATGCTTCGTTCCAATTCAGTCGATTTGGTCTATACTTGTTTGCTGTGCGCATAACGTAGTAATTCTAGGCTAATGACCGGAATAAGAAGACATAACGTTTTCAAAAACAGATATCACGGTTAGTAGAGGCCGATCTTCGGATCGGGCGAGAGGGGGTGCTCATAGCTGACCTTCCCCAATCGTACCCAAGCTCCCGAGCCGAGGCAACTTTGGTGATGACGGACACGTGGCCTTTGGCACCGAGTTAGGGTTTCCTAAATTTCCCATAAAAAATATTTCGGTGGCGACTCTGTATCTGGCAAAGCAGTCCATGTTTGGCACTTCTTTTAAAAAATCTGTTTCTCAAAATGATTTGCCAGATTTGGACTCTTTGGTTCAGATTAAGAATCGTGACAATTTGAGAGTCCTAAACTGTAGTAGACTCGCAAAACGAACAGAACGGGACTCATCCTACCGGGGCTGTGACATCCCTGTTCTGTATTATGCTAAATTGGTCCTAAATCTGTTTATGGTCATGTGTTTAGCATGATTTTGTGTGCCATTATGTAATTTTGAATTCGTATCTGTCCATCGTAGGAATATCTGTTTGAATAACCTGCTTTGGAAACTAAATTGAGGGCTTTATCGGCCACAGAACCCGAAATTGATTACGCCATTGTGGTTGGCATAATTTTTAGAGCCTACGATGAAGTTTAATTAAAAATTTATTTGGGCCAAATTAAATTGATTAAGCTGGTAAAATGAGTGCCCAATTACTCTATATTATTATTATTATATTGTGACTTAGTGAGGCTCTATACACTCAAATCCCTCTTTGTTATTCCTCTTGGCTGACTTAAACGTAAGAGAGAGAGAGAGAGGGGAGTCGGCTAGAGAGAGGGAGAAGAGGAGAGTTTGGTGTTTGGCTCAAATTTGTGAAGAATCGGAGGATTAAACTCAAGGAATTACTATAGTTTGGAAGATTGAGCCTCTAGGTAAGCATTTGGTCTTGAATTCATAAGTTTGAAATTGTGATCTTGTAAGCACAAGGGTTGTTGTGATCAAGAGCATGTAATAAGTTGATTTTTGTTGAGTTTGGAGTCTTAGAACTCATGCATGTAAGAAATTGCTTTGAATTTGCATGTTTGAGCTTGAAACACATGATTCATGTAGAGTTTTGGTTGAAACTCATATTTTGATCACCATCTGTACCATCTAAGTTGAGAATGATGAGCATCTCCCACATGCATGTACAAATCATGGGAGTATAAGTCTTGAATGTTTGAAATTGAGCATGTTAATGATGGGTTTGAGAGATTTTGGGACATGCATGTAGATAAATCAAGAAATTGAACTTCATAATGTTATGATCTTGCAAGGGAACCATGTTAGTATGATTATATTTGAGATTTGAGCCCTTGCATGCAAGAAAGGTAGCTGGGAAATCGAGTTGAAGCTCAAGAACACAATCTGGAATTTCTAGAATTTCTGCTTCCGCTCGAGCGGGTAAGTCCACGCTCGAGCGTAGAAAACGAGCTCCCAGCATCTTTTTGCAGACATGATTTCCGCTCGAGCGGGGAGCTATGTAGGCAGGCATTACGCTCAAGCGGCCGAGTTCACGCTCGAGCTGGAATTGAAGGCAACCAGTACTTTTGCAGACCTAAGGGTCCGCTCGAGCGGGGACCCTATTTTCTGAAATCCTATTTTTGCACTTTGTGTTCTGTTTTCCGTTCTCTTTCACTTGCAAGCGCCCTTAGGCATATGTTAAGCATTGTAAATGAGTTAACGAGATAATAATAAAGCCTAAAGAGGAATATGTGAATTAAAGAACGGATTAAACTGTTAATGACCCCTTTTGTGTTCATGAAACGTGTAGGGTCAAGCTCCAGGGCAAATCAACAAGCCGATCACTGTGAGTAATATCGATATTTGAATGTTTGTGAATGTCCAATTGTTTACCCCATTTTTAAGCTTTATGAACTGCTAATAGGGATTGTGGACGTAAGTCCGATATGAATGCATAAATGAATGGGCCAAAGGCCGTTTTGACATAAATGAATGGGCCAAAGGCCGTTTTGACATAAATGAATAGGCCAAAGGCCGTTTTGACATAAACGAATGGGCCAAAGGCCGTTTTGACATAAAGAATTGGGCCTAAGACCGTTTGGAACATGTTGTTCTACATTGTTATGTAACTTCTGTATTTGATTTGATATTATTCACTGGGCTATCGCTCACTCTCATTCATGTGTTTGTAGGTGAGCCAAGAGAAGTCCAGACCCAGTCTCAGTGAAGTCTGCATGGAACAACTAAGGTTTTGAGAGAGTCAGCCCTTGTGTCTCACGCACGAGACCTGTCTTCGCCCTTTTGTTATGTATTTACATTTTGTCAGGTTGGCAAAGTTTTGTATATGTCTGCTTATAGTTTTCATGGGTTGACTTAGTTTTGGACGATCCTGTCTGTACAGAACCTATGTCGCTATGTTTCTGTTGTGAGTTATTAACGTACATATGTATGGTTTGTTTTAATGTGCCATGTAAGCACAGCTCTATGGACAAAGTTTTAAATTTTGCTTCCCTTTTGGCCCCTTTACTCTGATGTGTTAAGTCTGTATTTGATTTGAGGCCGTAGGTAATCCTAGGATTACTGGCCGGTTACGTCCTTAACCCATGGGGGCGGGTTCGGGTCGTGACAGGGGCGTTCGGGGACGTCTACAGTAATTTACTGAGAATTGACTGAGTAATATACTAAGAATTTTCTGAGTAATTTACTGATTATTTTACTGAGAATTTACTGAGTAATTTACTGGGAATTTACTGAGAATTTACAATAGAATTTGCTGAGTAATTTACTGGGAATTTACTGAGAATATTGCTGAGTAATGTACTTAGTAATTTATGCAGAATTTACAGAGTAATTTATTGAAAATTTACTGAGTAATTTACTTGGAATTTACTGGGAATTTTTTGAGTAATTTACAAAGAATTTACTAAGTAAGTTACGGAGAATTTACTGAGTAATTTATGGAGTAATGTACTAAATAATTTACTGAGAAAGTTACTGAGAATTTAATGAGTAATTTGTTGAGAATTTACTTGTGATAACCCTGTCCCTTATTATGTTAATTGGTCCTTAATACGAATGTGATTATGTATTTTGATATGATTTCGTGCGCCACTAAGTGAAAATATGTGGTTTTGAATTTCTATCTGTTCACCGTAAGAATATCTGTTTAATTGTCTGCTTTGGAAATTAAATTGAAGGCCTTATCGTCCATAGAACCCGAAATTGATTGCGTCATTATGATTGGCATAATTTTTAGAGCCTACGGTAAAATTTAATTAAAAACTGATTCGGATCAAATTAAATTGATTTAATTAGTGACTTAGTACTCTATTATTTGATATTAAAATAATATAACAAGAGGGGCTTTTAATATGGGCACTACACATATGATTTTGTGTGCCATTATGTGAAAATATGTGGTTTTGAATTTCTATTTGTTCACCGTAGGAATATCTGTTTGATCGTTTGCTTTGGAAATTAAATTGAAGGCCTTATCGGCCACAGAACCCGGAATTGATTACACCATTGTGATTGGCATAATTTTTAGAGCCTACGGTGAAATTTAATTGAAAACTGATTCGGATCAAATTAAATTGATTTAATTAGTGACTTAGTGCTCTATTATTTGATATTAAAATAATATAACAAGAGGGACTTTTAATATGGGCACTACACACCCAATTTCTCTCCTTTAAGCTTTACTTGGCTAATCATAAACACTAAGAAAAAGAGAGGGTCGGCTAGAGGGAGAGAGGGTGAAGGAAAATTGAAGTTTTGGCCTCAAAGCTTGGTGATCTTGAAGGTACACTCAAGAATTTACCATAGATTGTAAGGATTAAGCTCTTAGGTGAGTAATCATCCCTTGATTCATAAGATTGGACTTG